CTCTGCCAGAGCTCAGACAAGGATACAGCGTCCAGAGTAACATGCAATGATTCAAGGCTGATTTAGAGTGGCTGCTCTTAAACCCGACTTATAGAGTACAGTAATTATAGGAGGTAAAGGAGGGGCAGTGAGGGATGCTGGGTATAAGTGGGGGGCTTGGTGAGGGAGGTTGTTGTCATTTGGCAGCCAGTCCAGTTGGAGAGAGAAATTACTCTTGGTGCCAAAACCTGGGTGGTAGAGCATTTATCAGCCAGTCATCACAATGATTCACATGATCCAGCAGGGAGCCATTATTTTTAACCCCGCTTTCTCACGGCAACCTGCTGGTTGCAAGGAGGACTATCGCTATGGGATGTTTTAAGCACTGGATCCAATGTAAGCCTAAAGTAATTGTTTGAAAACAGTAGCTTGGAAAGTCAAAGCTCTTCTCAGAATCAGGCTTTGTCTGTGGGTTGGACTACACTGAGAAGGAATTGAGCTGTTGAGCCTAACTGAGGGGCATATGGCGTTTGTTCACTGCAGCAGAACACAGCGATGCCTCAGGAAGGGACTGACAAACATGTGGTCCCTGTAGTTGGAGGGGAGAGTAGCTGGCACTGAATACATAAAGATCACAAATAAATACACCATCCACCTGCTTGGCGAGTGCTTTGGGACTGTGTAGATCCAAAGGCATTGATACAGTTTTGCATTCGCTTGTCTGCCTGTACAACAAGTATAACAGTCTCTGCATAAGCAAGTTCATTCCTTGCTGAATAGGGAATCGGAAAAGGAGGCGTGTGATGGCCTTCTCATAATAACAACGATACAAATGTTATTCTTCCATTCACTCCTCCTCACTATTCCTTTCCCAGCCTTGCGTTTTGGCTCCCATGGGAAGCACATAGTTCTGATATACACAGGTTTTCATCCCTTCCCTTTTGGTGAAAGACTTGCAGGAGAGACAGAAACAGGGAGAGGAAGAGAGCTGGGGACTGTTTATTCAGTCAGATGGTCTAACGTGTGTGGAATAGATTTGAGCTAAAAAGGAAGCTGTCTGCACAATAGCAGTTGGCAGCATTGAATGTGTGAATGATGCGGAATTCATCATCATACTCTCGTTGACTCATGGACTTTGCTCTATAGCGAACAGTAAATTGAGATTTTGGACACCTAACTGCTTTTCGTTATCAATGGCAGGTGTAGTGCTGCATAATAGCAATGACACATTTATATTTTGTACTTATTTATTCATTGCATGAGCTTAATAAAACTCGCTTTTCTATGACTTAAAACTCTGTGTGGCCTCGGATGTTTAGCAAAGGCCAAAACATAGGGAAATATACGTTTTAGAATGATATATGTGTACATGTGGACAAGGCCCAGACACACCAGCAGGTAGTGACTGTGTTTAGCTCTGAAAATGGTTTGCATTATTTTGAAATACACCAAATAATAAAATGTTCATTAACTTTTCATAAACAACCATGTAAAGAAATGTATGCCTTGTTTTCACACAACACTATTGAATTTATAATCGTACAGCCAAGATGAGCGAGTAAGTCAGCAAGCGAGTGAGTCAGTCATTCAGTCAGTATCTTTCTCCTAATTTTCACAGATCTCATCATTGCTTTTTGGATTATTCACCCATGCAAAAATGATTTTCCTCAGGTGGCTGCAACTACGTCTCCCTGTCCGTCTTTTATACTCTTTTATACTCAGCCTACACTCGCTTCACTTCCTCGTGCCATTCACTGTCATTGTGAAAAGGTGTGTGTGACTCCACTGGTAGAGCAGAGCCCATTATCGTAAATAGGCCAATAAGTAACTTCACACATTGTGTCTCTAAAGCAAGCACACTCTATATGCAAAGCAGAGGCACACTGTTAAAGAAACTGGCGCCAAGTGATTATATTTGTAATTTAATTTCCTTGGTCACACAGAGATAAGAGAATAGAGCGCCTGCAGTTGGCTAGGGATGAATAGAGTGACGAGAATGGGACTACAGCTTCATTGTCTGGACTGAGATGTCCGAGACGACTCCACTTACGAACAAGGGCACCGGAGGGCAGATATGGTACACACACAGGGAGACTGAACTCAAAGACACAAAAATGTAAGTACCAGAGACAGCAGAGAGACTTTGACTATGCAAAAACACCTGCAGTCTCGAAATCAAATGGATGAATGTAAGTGCATGGATAATCAAGAAACTCTTCATTCCCTGAAGTAAGTTCTGTCTCTCCGTTTTTCTGTCTGCCTCCTCGCACTCAGTACTGCTGAGCAAACGTAATCAGCAGTGGGGTCTGGGTGGGATGTCAGTCACAAAGAGTAACGGCTCATTGCAGATTCTACAGGCGAGATGGACCTGGTCCCTGCAAAAAAAGACTACTGAAGGACACAAGGTGTATTCTTCCAACATCCTCTCTGTCTGCCTCCCTCGGTCTGCTTTTTCTGAGATTGTAGAACTGCAGATATCAAATTTCCTGACTTTTCCATTTTCAAAGGGTGTCCACTTAAACTGATGACAAGGCAGTGGAGAGCACAATACTGCAGTGGTCACACTCTGATTTTGACTAAATCAGAACATTCAGGGCTATAGAGAGCTGGCGGTGACAGAAAAAAGGTACAAAGTCCATCAAAATCTGACACCACACATTGCCGCATAGAGCTCAGGGTCAGTATGAAACTGGTTTGTGACATTTCAAATCCTTTTAGATTTATATTCAAATTCATCATCCTAGAGAAATAGTTGTTTTCACAGCCAATACATAGAAACATATTGATATACCACAACATATAGATATAGGCAGTACAAAGAATCTTCATGAATACATCCATTCAATTCAAGCTCCCAGCAATATCATTGAGGTAGATAGTTCAGGGCTGCTTTTGCAGAAGGTTAAAAACAAATGTTGATGCAAGTTCTTCTCTATTCAAATGTGCTGAACTAGATTGAGGAAAAACACTGTGTTGGTTTTGAGGTTCATCAGTTTCAATTGATATTCTGAGTGTTAGCAGTGTGAAGGCTTTGATAAACTGGGTGTTGGAAGGGATATGATTTTTTTTTGAGGCGGTGTGTGTGAGGTTGGCAAGTTTGTTTTGGTTGGAGATGTTTATCATGGAGGGTGAACAGAGCAGTAGGGGTTCAACACAACACTAACAAAAGACTTCCTGGTATCATCAATGCATGTCAGCAGTGTGTTGATCAAAACTGAGTTTATTGTCTATGATGATTCAGGGATATTTAAAGCTTCTCCTCTGATCATGTCTTATAATGAATGTGGGTGGAGGTCAGTCCAGTGCAGGTTGTGTTTGATATGCTTATTACCAGTTCTCTTTTCTTGTCTACATTTATCTGCAGGTAGATGTCATTATAATATTGTTGTGATGTATTGACTGTAAAGGTTTTTATACAGTAGGCTTTAACAGAGTTTTTGTCAACGAGTAGTCAACGTATGACAAAGTCATCAGAATATTTGAAAGATGTGGTGATGGTTAGAGGCTTTTAGTTATTTGTGTGGATGGTGTAAAGAAAGGGCCCGAGGACACAGCCCTGAGGGGCTCCAGTGTTAGTTCAAAGGTATTGTTTTTTTTTGTTCACAGTGTTTTGGATAAAATAAGCTAGGTTTTTTTTTTTTTGTTCAGTGTTAACCTAGTTTTTCAATGAGACTGTAGAGTACTAGTACAAAAATGTCATGTATAGGGTTTGCGTTGAAGAGTGACACCATTAGATTGACCAAGTTATTAACCTGACCAAGTTGGAAATGAAAATGAGTTGGGTCTGTTGCTAGTGAATTTGTGAACCCAGTGGATTACTGTAGGAGTGGTGGGATGTTGATATATAAAGTGTGTTGTTTATCTGGTGGAGTCAGATTGTGTCGAAGCAGAGAAGAAGTTGGCAAAAAGAAGGAGGTGAAGCTGCCTGCAGATTCCAGGTGTTGGAGCTGGAGCAGTTAGTGAAGGAGGCATGCCACAGCACCATCTTTCCCTCGTTTGACCCCGAAGGCAAACTGGTAGGATTTAGTAAGAGAGGATGGAGGAGAGCTCCATGGCACAGGGTTTAAAAAACAAAAGTGGGGATGCCAAATATTCTCTCTCCCTTTGTTCCCTATTCATTCCTCCTCTCATCTTCATCCCTCAATTCTGCATATTTCCTCAGCGTTTTTGACTTTGAACCAAACAGCATTAACCTGTCAGGAAAGTTACAAATGTTCCGAGTGAATTATGTAAACCACAGGGAAATAAAACTGCAAAAGGCATCAAGTTTTCGCTTTATTTCATAATTCATCATGCTCCCACATCGAGCCAAATAAAAATTGACTTATTAAGTAGTCCGACACATTCTGGCTCAAAATCCTCTGAAATACGCTACAGAATATTAATCACACTTTGTCTACCTCACAAATAATAATCAAACACAAACAAACACTTTCCTTTTTTTGGTGATTTCATTACTCGTCAAATGAGAGCAGTGTCTCCTACATTTCACTGGATTTCATTGCAAGAAGCAAAGCAAAAGATGTTACACCAGCACCACCAAAAGGTCAAGCTGAAAACAACAGCTTGCTTTCTTTACCACAAAATAAATGTTACAGCACAACACAAATCAAATTCAGGATGCTTCACCATTTTAGCAAGCAAATGTATTTATATATCTCAATGAACACTAGCGCACAGGAGCAAAGAGAAGCACATGCATTATACTGGGGGATGGGATAGTGTCAGTGCTGTAATTAATAGAACATGGCTGTACAATTGGTCTCTAATTGATATGAAGAGCAGTGGTTTATCCCAGGTTGTGTTCTACACATGCTGCTGTCTGCGGGCAGAAATCGCTGGCGGCCAACCTCAATCTTGCTGCCATCTTCTGATTGATGTCGCTGTAGAAAATGCCCTTCAACAATCAGTAGCTACAATCTCTCTGTGTCTATCAGGCCCCCTGTATATCTGTGCCTAACATCTTCTACCATTCATCTGTCATTTCATCTTTTGTGCCTAAACATCTCACTATCTTTTTCTTTCTATCTCCACATTGATTCCGCCCGTCTTTCTCTGAAGGCATTCTCAACCTTTGGTCGTTTTTCTCGGGAAGGTGAAAGAGCAGCGTTTGTGGTGGTGGAAGGGAAAAATTGAGAGTTTCTTTATGACAGACTGGCAGCCATAAAAGACTGCATGCTTTCAAAGGCCAAGACAACACCCTCAAGGGGGGGGAGGGGGGGGGGGGTGAAATAATTTAGATGAAAAGGAAATACTTTTCAAAAGTACTTTTATTTCAGAAAGAAAGTGGCACACATATTCTCTTAATTTAACAAATGAGGTTTAAAGAGGATTCTTTTAGGATTTAGCATTGAATTAAAAATAACAGTCACTGCTGAGAGGCACAGCTGGACTAAAGTGGTGAACACATATTGAACTGAATAGGTTTGAAGTTTGGGTGAGGAAGCTCTTTAGAACCATTCTGCTCATGGATCGAGTGCCGATGCAAGACGACCTTCAAGGACATTCCCCTCATTTACACAGCAATTAAGCACTACCCTGTTGGTAAATTGAAAAAGAGACAAAAATCCTCTGTGGATTTAATAACAAACTCATTACCAGGGCCCAACAGGGCGGAACTGCCTTTTAATTAGAGCAACACCTGATTAACGCCCAATTAACAGAGCCAGAGCCACTTAATTCTCCCCCACTTTGGCAGGTGCAGAACATAAACATAAGCCGTCCAGCGTCAGAGTGCTTCCTCTCCTCCAGGAAATGTGTGAGAGAAAAGTAAATAACGACTTTGGAGGCAGTCTGTTGTCGGGTGGTCCACATGCTCTGCATAGCTTGGAACTATGTTGAAAATGTGCTGGGTAGGTGATTCAAATAGCTGATATATGTAGGACTGGCTGGAAAAACCTTTGCTCCACTACACTTGCAACTCCTTAAACAGATGCAGGAACACTGCCAAGCTGTCAACCATCATGCTCAGCCATATGAGCTGATAATACCCTCTATGACAGACACACGTTAATAAACGTCTCCAACTTTTATTCAGCTGTGGAGGACAGCACATGATCAGCATAGTTAAACTAATCCGTGTTGAACGTACAACACAGCATATGACCGATAATAGATAATAAAATAAGGAATCATTAAAGTGATATTTCCATTTGTTGTATTAGCAAACACCTTTGTTTTACCTTTTATAAGAAAAAAAAAAAATCTAATGTTAAACATATGTGTATTTAACATACATCAACAACTTTGCAGCTTATACAGAAACATTGAAACACTAGTACTTTAAAAAAAACAATAGTCCAGGTTCAAGCTGGATGTTTTGTGAGTGTTTTGATAACATAAATCTGACACAAAAAAACTAAACAAAGCTGGATCTGATTCTGGCCTGGGAGCACACCTGGACAACAAGCACCAGTTTACACATACACTTTGTCAGACAACAATTGTCATCTTACATTTACCGCCCAGTTAACCAGCCAGTATTGTTGGTCCTTAGTGTGTTTTACTTTTGAGTCAATACTGGAAACAAAGTGGAGAATCAGTGCTATGATCAGCTCTTGAGAAAGCTGAAGACTTTCAGGAATCCAACTTAATTCCTCTGGCAAACACTTTAACTCCCAACACAGTTAATCAATATTCAGTCTGGTTGTATAGATCAATAATAATAATGATTCCCAAACAGGCCTCTCAGCTTGATGCCGGGGCTCGATCAGGCGAGTGAGACACGAGTGTGAATTGCTGGTTCCTCATTGAGTCTGTGTTAGTAATGTGTAACATACACATTATCATTCATTTCCTCTGTCATGTCCTAATTTCTGCACCCCACTCAAGGCTATTAGGAGCCATGTTGCTTATGCTGTTTCCAGGGTAATAACCGTCGCTGAAAGAGCATTTAGGGGCCTTAAGTTGAGAGGAAATCCGCCAGGACTCCACAGATTTCTCTAAGTCTGGCAGGATGTCAGGCACAACAGCTTGTTCAGCCATAAACACTATTATCTCCACGACCAACAGCAGGACCCAACCTAAGGCCCCTAGCCAATAGGAGGAGCCGAGGCTGGAGAAGTCCTGACGGATTTCTTCCCTGTGCTGATAGGTGAAAAAGGACCAGCTGAGGAGGAAGAAGAAACCTAAAGAAAGAGGAGAAAATCGAGTCAAATCAAGTATCATTAGGGGAAAAAGAAAAAAGTCATTAAGGTCAATTATTACGTGCCTGGAGCTTTAGAAAAGAGTTTGTATGATAATGAACTGCAATTCCAGGGAAAGTTAAAAGTGTCTGTAAAACACTGCTGCCCTGCAGGGTATGTAAATGAGGAGTACATGAAAGAAATTCTGGAGAGGTAGGTTTGACATGAACTACACAACCCAAAAGGCTATTTGGAGGTTAAATGGAAATGGGGATATGTTTTACTGCTTTACTAGGAACACATAGGTATTACAACTAATTATGAATAAAAAAACATGGTGTGTGGCTCAGGTTTCAAATGTTCTGAGCAGTGTCATGGTGTTACCTGTAGAGGCCATGGTGAACAGCAGCAGGGTGGTGGGGTACAGGGCCTGTCCTGCCATGAGGAGAGAGCGAGTGTTGGAGTAGGAGCGCACCGTCTCAGATGTCCAGCAGAGGGCAAACACCAGACACAGAGCCCCCGTGCTTACAGCCATCAGGAAGGAGAGCACTCCAAACACTCTCTCTGCCTCCAGGGCTGTAGGACAAATGCACAGTCCAAAATGAGAAAGGTAATGATTGACCATAACTTTAATTTACGTTTCTACTATGAATAGGCAGAATGTTGAAGTGAAACATGTTGTAAAAGGGAAACAGCTCTGCATAAAAGTGAAACCAATAGGGTAAAAACAAAAGTTCATGCAGAGTTTAGGTAGTTTTCATGACTGCAACATTCATTCTGAAATTCTGATTTGCACAATAAAAAAAAGAAGGAAGACATTTTACTTTTGTAACAATGACCAGCAGATTGTTTCACTTGATGTTCTGTTACAAGGGGCATCCCCATATCACATATTTCATAGTTTATTTACTGACATTATTAAACCCACCTTATGGCCTATGACTAATCAAATAGTAACAAGAATCACTACTCCAAAGCCCTGCTGGTTTTGTTATTGATAATTTGCAAGTTGTTGATTTGGTCTCTTGTCTCAATTATACTCTACTACATATATTTATATAATATTTACATTTGTTTTTCTTCTAGTGGCTAAACAGATATTTAGCATTTAACCTGAAACTTAAAAATCCATGTAGATTTGTTCTTGTGCTTGTAAAGTGAGGGGGGTTGACTTTGACCACATTATATTCAATCAAAAAGTGGGTTTGCTTAGTAACAGTGTCAATGGAATACAACTAACAAGGGATACTATTTCTTATAGTTATAGTTCTGATAGTATCCTAGCTGACCAAGATTTCAGCACATTTGCCTCCAACCAAGACTTGAGAAACTTGTGGAATTCACCGCTCTACAGGAGCGAGCTCTAACATGTTTACAGCTACTGAGAAGTTCCTCTGCAACCCATGATTTCTCAAATGATCTGTATGTTGATCCTCTCGGGATACAGAGGTGTAGAGAAAAAGGTACACTGAGGATCAGTGCCTTTCCAAAACAGACAAGTATATTCCCTTATTAATCATGCTGCAATGCTACTGTATGTCAGACTGGACTTAACCATGAGTGACATATTTGGGCAGATGACAAATTGCATTTCTTGACTAGAGTAAAATGCCAAACATGTAAATGCTTGATGCTCACCGCTGAAGTCATTGCCACCGATATGATTTGTCTGGTCACTTGTAGTGTTATTCCACTCTGTCCAGAGTCCCCTCTCCTTCAGCCAGAACGGTGTCCAGACTGCGTAGCTAACACACAGGCAACCTGCCAACCCCACACAGGACTGAGAGAACCTGAAGCGACTTGTGGACTCCCCCAGCTCCAGAAACTTCATATTTTCCCTGGCAGGGAAAACAGACAAGACAGGAGGAAATTAATATGTTATTATTACATTGAAGTTGAGCAACCTCCTTATTCAGTTGATGTAACTCAGTTTTAATAATGTCAATTGTAAGTGAAGCACCATCTTACCTTTGTTGCTGTAGAAAACAGAAAGGTGTCAGGAACAAAACTGTGCAGTATGTCTGTGTACAGGTAAAACACTTCAGGAACTATAGGATGGTTACTGCTGTACAAACAGAGCACCCTACTTGTAGTGCTCAGGACCACACGCCTTAACTCGCAAATCAAACCGTGCAGTGTTTACTCCGCCTCTGCTGCAATGGAAACTCCCCCAGACAGACGTCTGAATTCCCCCTGAACTCTCCACTGCGACCCACCAGCTCACACTGTGCAGAAAGTGAAAGCACCAACAACTGCTATTCAATATTGGAGGAAGCAGACGTTTGTGTATAGCTAACATAAAAACGATATATAAATAAATAAATGGATGTTAAAAAGGAAGTTGAAATCCCTTGACATTTGAGTGATATTCTGTAACCGCAATATAGCATGTCAAATGTAGAAAGTCTGTGGGGGTGTCAGAGTGTCATCATCCGTGACAAAACATTTAAGGAAATCCCACTCGCTGTTCCTAACAGTGAGATATCAGATATCTCACATATTCGTCATACCACCCACTTCCCTTGCCTCTGTTGCAACGGAAGGGCGCCCACAAACTAAAATAACTTTCATACAAAAAAAAAGATAGTATATAAATAAAAAATAAAAACATGAAATCCAAATAAAATTGATTCAACTTAAGACATACTAATTCATTCCTTTAATCACAGTTCATTAACTATAAAGAAATGCATAGATAAAATAAAGTGCATATGACCAAATAATAAAGACGTACAGTTGAGAGTACGATCAAAATGTTAAACAGTACAACATAACTGATTTTGGTTGATTAACATTTGGCATTCATTTAGATTTGTAAAAAGACTAACATCGTTTCAGTGTGGATTACAAATAACAAAAGGCTGTTTTTCCTTAGCAGATCAAATATAAGGCCTCGAGTTTCAGAAAGAAAGTACTCTGTTCTGTCCTTCCATGCTGGCCTTACTGGCTTTTCTTTTCTTCTTCTCTCCTCTTTAGTCAGGTGTTTGTGTCAAGCTGTTCACTGTAAACGCAGGAGGGTGAAGTATTGCCTCTTGAAAGCTGGCAGCTACGTTCGTGCATGTTTATCCTAAGCTTAATTCCCGGCTCTTTGCAGCAGGGCCTTGAATACATCAAGAATCTCTGGGTCCTCCCCAGCAGACAGCTCTGGAGTGTTTTTCTCCAGCCAATCGGATGAATGGATCTGGTTCCTGAGGGTGCCAATCAGAGAGTCCAGACTGTCCGCGGGCTTTGATGCCTCGCGGTCCAGCAACACTAAATCCTCCGTGTCCAGCGGGTCTGTGTCAGGCACAGAGCTATCCTTCTCCTTGGGCTGCTCCGATGACTTGCTCTGAGGTGATGATGTCGAGTTGACAACTGCAGCATTGTCTGAATCTGCACCGTCCTCTCTCTTTGGTTGTTGGCTCTCCTCACTGGCCGCTTTGACAGAGAGGGAATCAGGGCTGATGTTTTTTTCTTCAATTTCTCTCAAGGCTGCATTCATTCGCTTCAAACCTGACGCAACGCAAAACATTAACAGAACAAGTCAGTTACTATTATCCAATCAATACCTAGTTCAAGACAACAAAGCAGGAGGTTAAATGGAATAACACTAACCGTAGACTGAATAAATGAAATAATACATCAAAATCGATGTCAAGTTTAAGGCAGAAAAACTTGAAAATAGATTTCAAGATATAGCAGTAGAACCTTTATTTAGCCAGGAAAATCAATTAAGAGCAAATTCTTATTTTCAATGATGACCTGACAGGAGGCAAAAGGCTACCTGAGGGGATGGGGGTTGGGAGGAAGAACATAACAAGAAAGGCTCCGAGCAAAACAGAACCCAGGAGACAACACGATGACACAGAGCAGAGATGGCAGGCATAGCAGTTAAACATATAACATATCTAAAATAATACTTCTGGAGTTCAATCAGTCATTACAATAATATAGAACATTCATCCATTCAATCATTCATTCATGGTAATGCATACTATAGGAGAGGTGAAGACATTGGTAGTGAGCATCAGGCGAAGCAGCTGCATGTGTGTACCAGTGTGTTTGTAATAGTGTCCCTGAAGGAGCGGGGGGAGATAAAAGTGTCCATCTTCAAGGTTTTTTGTATGATATTCCAGCTATCAGCTGCTGCAAGCTGAAAGGCGGAGCAGCCAAAGGATGTATGGGCTTTGGGGATATAAAACTACATTTATAGAAGATGAACAATTAAGAGGGCATATTAAACTACAGACTCACCGAGCTGAAGGTGGTGCTGTTGGTCGGAGAAGACAATGCGGAACCAGCCGGGTGTTGAGCAGTAGAAGGCCTGACCAGCGCTCAACACCACCTTATGTTGGAGGAAACGCCTCCACAGGGAAAGCTCCTCCTCAAATGACGGCTCTCTGAGGTACTACAGAAAAGAAGAGACAAAAGTGACACATCATATCTCCAGTACAGGTCGCACATACAATAGAGTCAGAGTAAGAACTGAAGACATCTTAGCGTGGCATTCGTCTCGGTACCTTTCTGAGGTCAGCCCAGACGTAGAGCGCAGCAGGTCGGTCCAGGTAGGGGACGCCCATACTCTGCAGCTCTCCTGTCAGGTAGCTGTGAGCGGCTTTCAGTCTGCACCTGTTCTTCGGTAGAAATTCCTCGCTGATCCACTCTGAAACACGAGAGTGACAATAGGTGGGTGTGAATTAAATGGAACAAGTCTTTGTGCAGCAGAACCCTGCTGTGCTCCTGTCATATCAAAAGGAAGCCACGAAAGCGGGTGATATCTGGAGGAAGAATGAAAACCGCTATACAGCACATTTGAATTATTGAAAAGCTTGTTTCCAAAATGAATGGATTTAGGAATGTTAACAAACAAGCCCTTTTGTACAAGGACAGCTGATTATATAAGTGTGAATTACAACTCGTCTTTACCAAAAAGGGGTTACACACATTATTCACCAATTTCATAATACACATGTAGACATATGGAGGCAACAGCAGATGTCATTGAATTAAAAACCATAAACAAGGACACTTTTACAATAGGAAAAGAAGAGTGTGAAAACAATAGTCAGAGCGAGGGTGAGCATTTTGTTTATTATCTTGATAAATGTGTTTACAAAAGTGATAAGTAATGTTTGAACTAATTTCTATCTATATGTGTATTGAAATAAACCTTATCTCTATAGTTGCGCAGAGCTGACGGCCGACAGCTGATACGAGTTAACACTGGCCCAATGTTCTCTTCCATGAGAGGTCACGGTGATAGAAAGTCTCTAAACATAAGAGACAGCAATGATACTGCCTTGCTTAGCATGTGTTAACAAACAAAAACCTTGTTTATGATAAATAGTGAGGGTGAATGGCTATGATAAAGAACCTATGGTAATATAAAATGTGACTACAATGTGTTATCGTATTGCTCAGTTTCTGTTCTTATTGGACAACCTCCAAAACACCTTCAACCTGGGACGTAACTAGATACTTTTCTCATTAAGATATCATTCACCAAAAGCACATGTGAATCTTGGATCCATACCTCTGTCCTGAAGCAGTTGAGCTACCTGGCGCTGTGTGGTTCCAGAGATACCGTGGAAGGAGCCCAGCTGAGCCAAAGCCTCCACCAGGTCTCTGTTCTCAGTGTACAGAGTGCCGATTCTGAATCCTGCCAAAGCAAAGTCCTAGAAAACGGCAAGAGGTGTGAATGAAAAAAGAACGCCGAGAGCTAAAAACCCACTGAAGTAAGTCTGAGATGTCCCTGTGCTGTGAGCAGGGATATCAAAGTCTCACAATGTCACACTCGCATGCAGCCCAGCACAGTACGTACCTTGGTCATCCCCCACATTACGTGTGTCCTCTGTGGGTCGGGCAAACTAAAATAAGTGCACACCGTTAGCAGTTAAGAGGCTGTCTTCGGCCACAGTCTTTATGATTAAGTGTGTAATAGAGTAATCATGCAGAGGTTAGGTTCATGAAGTACCTGTCTATACTGAGGACGCTGTGAAAGGCGACAGATTCATCAAAGACCGACAGCATGTACACTTCGTCCACGATAGTGTGGAGCTCATTTCTAAAGAGGGAAAACATGGAGAGAAAGATAAGAAAAAAAATAATATAGTGGAGCATTAATAAATGGTTTTATACTAGTAATGATTGTTTATGACAAAAGAAAATGCAACAGAAATGTAAAATAGTCTCCTCAACATCCTGCATCAGGGTAAAAGCACTGTGGTTTATGGTTACAGCAGCTCAGTGCCTGCAAGCGTCTGTGGTGGGAATCTCTCTTGCATGATCATTTAGAAAACAATGGATGATGCAGGAGACCCCTTTGCTCATGGCTGCACTTGAAAATATGCTGATGGTAAGGAGAGGTGATAAAACTCTATCAAGAGCGCCTGATATTCCACACATGGGACAGGGCTCTCGGGCCGTAAAATAAAGAATCAACAATAGGAACTGTTTGCAGTGCTTTTGGCCATGTGCTTAAAGGAGCCAAAGGGCTGCCGAGAGGATTACAGTGTTAGGCCAGAGCTTGAGATAATAGCGGGGCAAACACACCTTTTGGCAAACTCCAAGAAGGCAATCATCTCTTCCGGGGTGTAGATCTCAGCCAGAGGATTGTGGGGGTTCATCAGGATAACAGCTTGGATGGTTAAACCCTAAAAGAGATGGGTAGTTTCTAAATACATTTAAATGTGTTTTTCATCTTTAAAAATAAAGCAAATCACTTAGGAAACATAGAGTATCCAAGGTTCTTTTCTAAATACAAAGCATTGTTTGAGTGGTTTGGTGTTTCTTTAAATATTCATTAGGGGTAAGTGCTTCGACACAAATGCAATCATAGCTTACCTCTTGTTTAGCCCTCTCTAAACCTTCTTCTAGTTTGCTCACAGTAAGGTGGAAGGGCCGACTGTCTTTGCCATCACCCTAAAAATAAAAGAACACAACACAAAAACATTCAATTGGAAATCTGATGATACAACTTACTGCGTAAGATCCCATGATGTTCTTTAATGCAATGCCAATATCATATACAGTATGTGAGACACAGTATATTTAATCTATATCGTAATGTAACAACAACAAACATGTTGAACACCAACACATAGTAAGCAATCCAAGTCAATCCGGCTCTCTTTTCTTACCTCACAGTCGAGAGGGACATGGAAGAGTTTCACATCACTATACAATTGTAAATCTTCAGTTATAACACCGTAGAAAGGAGTAGAAATGAGAACGGCATCTGTAACATAATAAACACAAAGACCATATGAAATACAAAAACACATACATTAACA